TGGTTGCTTGTTGATATGGTGGTTTTCCAAGTTCTAAATGGCAGTGTTATTATATTTGAGCAAAAGACAATAATAAGTGCTTAATTTCAACTCAAGCTCATGCTCTTCTTTCAAGGATCTCGCACTCTCGTATAACTGCAAACCTCTCACGTAAGCTTTGAGTACGATGCAATAGTTTAGCACTACTTTTGTGCTTCTGTGTCCAATACCCATCGTAACAAACAATTGTTCACTGTAGACAGGTCAATGAGCAGGTCATACAAATATCTAACATTACCATATAAATGGTAACAGAACGTGGTACTTGTGCCGACTCCAGACTAATAGGAAACCTCACCCAAAAAATGAGGAAAATTGAAATGCTTTTTGGTTAAGTATGTAACCAATCACAGAGCATATAAAAAAACCATCGCAGTTGGGAGGCAATTCATAAAGAAATAATACCATCCCGATTATAGAAGGGCAAAATTAAGGTATCTTACAAGCTATATCATTGCAGGAGATGATATCACACATCAATAGACAACACACGGAGACACACATCAGTAAAGCACGCCATCTAGTCTCTTACTACTTGTAACGCTCCGCTTTTCGTGAGTCGTTAAAAACTAACTCGGCAAAATCCTAATTGCGAAAATTTTCGTTCTTTGTGTGAGAGTCTAAGTTGTGCCAAGGATCTCAATTTAATCCCGTTGTTCCCTCTCATCGAAATCGAAATCCTCCACCTCGAAAAATTCCTTTTCCGATTCAAGTCTCTGAAATCAAATTCTGAAATTCAAATCCTTCCTTTGAATCCTCGCCAAATACTTCTACGAATCTAGAATTATTCAAATCTCGCCTCGAATCCTTCCCTTGACTTCACCTTATGTTCCTAAAGTCAAAGTATCAAGGTTAAATTCCAAAAATCCTTCTCAAATTCTCTCCAATTGAAACCCCCCCACCAAATCAGTTCTCTCGAAAAAAGTCTAAATTGCGTCCTTCTTGGCTATGGGCCGTTTCTCCCTTGCTCGGCCCATTTCTCCTCAGCTCCCTCCACCTCCACGTGCGCTGCACGCGCCGAGAGAGAGAGAGGCATCGCCTCTCTTCTTCCTCTCTCTTTCCTCGCTCTCTCTCTCTGCTTCCTTTCTCTCTCTCCCACGCCAGCGCTGCCGCCATCGCCGCTTCCCGCCGTCGCCGCCCAAAACCCGCCACCGCCTTCGCTCTTTCCCGCGCTCGTGCGTGGCCGACCGGCCGGTCGTTGCCGCCGTCAGCCCTGCCGCGCCCTCGCGTCCGCGTGCACGCGCTCGCGCGTGGGTCGCCGCCGCACCAGCCCCGCTGCCCTGCCGCGCTGCACCACGCAGCCGCACGGCCCCGCGCGCGTGCTCGAGCCGCTCCACGCGCGTCCTGCCAAAACCCGGAGGCCGAGCTCTCCCTCTCCCTCCTACTCCCTTCCCGAATCGGCTTGGAGCGAGCCTCTCTTTTTCCCCTTCTTTTTCCCTTTCCCGACCACCATCGGCGTCACCGCCTGCCACCGCCTGGACCACGGGCGCGACCGCCAGCCCGCGCTCACGACCCGAAATTCGGCCGTCCGATCCACCGCCTTCGCCGCCCAAAGCATCCACGCCGTCGCCGCTTTTGCATCGCCCACGAAACCGCCGCTGCCGCCAGCCGAGCGCTTGACCGCCAAGGTCGGTTCTCCCCTCCCAAACCGACATCGCCTCACCCCGCGCCTATAAAACCCGAGCCCTTCCCATCGAATCCTCCTCTCGTTTCACTTCCATCACTGCCGCGCTATTGTTGTTGCTCACTCCACTCTCGCCGTCGCCGTTCGTCGCCAAGCACTGGGGAGGCCGGTGCGTGCGAGGACGCGTGACGCGGGACTCCGAGCACCCCCCCTTCTTCCCCTTCCCCGGCCTGAGAACGGAGAACTCACTCCCGCACCGTCGGCCACTCGTCACGGTGCCGTCCCGACTCGGTAGTGACTCCCTCCATTCTCCTTCCTCGTTCTCCCTCGCCCTCTCTAGCTTGCGTGGTAGCTCTACTAGCCCCTCGAAAGCGCGTAGACACCGCCCCGAGCTCCGCCGCCGCTCGGCATGGCCTCGCCGCCATTGCCGCCCGCTTCCGGAGGCCGCCGCCGTCGCTAGCCCTCCTCGGTGCTCCTCCGCCCCATCCGATGCCGGAAACGGATTTCTTGAACCCCGGACATGCCCCCACCGCCTTGAATTGAATCCCCGTCACCCCTCCGCCGTTTCCCCCTTTTCCCGCCACCGGCGTGCGCCGCCGCGATTCGTCGTCGTCGGCCCCTCCTCGAAGGATCCGAGCCGTTGGCTCAACCCCTCTCGTGCTCCCCTTTGTACCGGTGAACTCCCTCTCGATCGAATCGCTGCGTCGTGCTCCGGTGAAACCCCGCCGTCGGCCACCGTTGGTTGGAGCTCCTGTTCTTCTTCCTCCTCTCGCCCGGCCCGCGTGGCTGCCACGTCGGCGCCACCTCGACGCGACCGGGTCAAAGCTGACCTCGGTCAGCCGCCTCCCTCCGTCCCCCACCCTCGCGCGCGGTCCACGGAGAGCCGACATGCTGCGCGTGGGCCCGCCGCACACCGCGTCCACCCGCGCGCCGCGCGTGGACCGCTTCCCCCCCCGAACCCTAGCGCCGCCCTCGCGTGCGCCCATCCCACCGTGGGCCGTATCACCGACAAGCGGGCCCCACCCGGGACCCCGCGCGGTGGAATCGGTCCACCGGGCCGTCTCTCTCACCCCCGCGCCCCCTCTGTTGGGCCGCCTCCCCGTGGCCGCGCCCGGCCCAATGGCTCGGCCGAGCCTCCTTCAACCCTTTGGGCCGCACCAATGCCACCCGAGACAAGTCCAAATCACATCCCTCATCCCTTTAATTTTCCAAGGGATTTAATAAATCCTTTTCCTTTGTTTCATAAATAAAATTCTTTATTCCAAAATTCCATGAATCATTTTCCTTTGGTCCCGCACGTCAGTGACTGTCAATAATATTCTTGAGAATATTATTTCTATAAATTCCATAAACCATTTCTCGTCTTCCAGAAATTCCAATTAAACTTCCAAAATTCATATCTTCCCAACCGCTCTTCCGATTGACTCCGTTCAACTTCCAATAATTCCGTAAATTGAGATCTATTTAATGGCACTACTAATTAGTCTAAATAGGATCTTTCTTTTTGTCTTTTGTTTAGGTTTTCGATTGTTTGCGTATAGTTGCAGTTATCGGATTTTCGTCGATCGCGGGTTTTCTCGAAGATTCGTGAAGCTTCGTGAAGACCTTGAGCAAGGCAAGTCACCCTTTGATCAATTGCCCCTATAATTGAAAAGTCATTATTATTTTGTTTGCAACTTGCATTATTATAATCACACACTTAACTTGCTTGGCCTCGGTTTGCGTGCCAAATCGACGGACCTACCTAGTAGTCGCACTAATTTCCGTAGGTCGTACTACCCTGATTCCTTGTCGCTCCACCCTTGTGGTACCTCGGTATTCGTGCTCTCTGAGCGCGTATACCAAATATCCCACATACACCGTTGTTTGTCGAAAACTTGGGAAATGGGTTTGTGAAGCCTTCAAAACCCGACATGTGGTGTCGGTGTGTTTGAAAATAAAATGAATTGTGAAAACTTGCGATGCGGGGGTTGTGCCTATGTGGCACTGTCCCGTATTCGCATATAAGGACCGATTCCTATGGGAAACTCATCGAACATAATCAAAGTGCAACCACAAGGTGGAATGGGACACCCTGGCTAAGTAACTAGTCGGTTCAGGGAAACCTCGCATGCCAATAGTTGGGAACGTTGGGGCGGGGTCGGTTGGAGCCAAACCGGGTTCCTGGTAATGCAAGAACGAGAAGCTTGCTGAATTACCGATCGAGGTGGTTGGAGTTTGATTTGTGAACGCCTAAAATGGCCTATGTTTATGTGAGGATTTGATCCTTCTATGTGGCATGAGGTATCCCTGGGTCGGCTTGGGAAAGGCTTTGTCGCGAACCTCTGACACCGGCCAGTGTCTGGAGTAAGTTCGTGTCTTGTGGGTAAAGTGTACCCCTTTGCAGAGGTTAACCAACTGTTCGAACAGCCGTGCCCACGGTCATGGGCAGATGTGAGGTGGTTCCCGTTGCGTAGATTTGTTTGCCTGTGCTTTGTGAAAAGTTGTTGTGGTGTGGGAATCGTAACCAGAATCAGCCTATGTGGCAGATGGACGACCTGAGTGGTCAGAAACGAATCTGTGTGATTCGGGATGTCTGCGGGCATCATAGACTAGGCTTCCCGAGTGGAAGCGGATTGTTGTGCTGCTGGGCAGCTGGACTCTGGGAGTCCGAGAAAATGAAAAAGGCTCTGGGAGCCGATTATTCAAGTGGAATGGCTCTGGGAGCCGAGAAGTAATGATCTGACCCGGGAGGTCGGTACATTTCCATTTGAGCTGTTGAAAAGCATCTCTTAAGTCGATTTGAGACGTAAGTCTCTTTTCGACCCAAACTTAGAAAGAAATAATTCACTTAGTGATTTCAAAATATCTTCAAATAAAAGATTTGCAAAACAACCTTGCCTCTCTTCCAAGCTTGCATTAAACACCTAAGTTCCCGTGACTTGCTGAGTACGAAAGTACTCACCCTTGCTCCATATAAATATATATAGTTCCTCCGCCCTGAAGAGAAGACAAAGTGAAGTGAAGATTAGGGTTTCGTCCTGGTTCCCAGCCGTCGCCTGTGGTGTTGGGTGTTAGACCGTTGGTTCCGCTGCCGCTGTTGTTGTTGGTGTTCGCCTCGTCCGTGTTGTCGGTTGTATTCTCGGGCTGTCTGAGCTGCAACCTAAGTTAAGGTAAATAAGTCCTCTATTTATTTAAGGATTGCTATGATTCATATTTGTCACCGTGGGTACCAGCACTATGTCCTGGGACTGGTACCGAGATCGCGGTTTCGTAGGAAGCGGTTCGCGCCGTTTTCCCTACGACACGCTCCTGTCAGGTGCCGTTGTACGGCGGTATCAGATTGGGGTGTGACACTACTAGACTTCATCCAGAGATTGTAGGGTTACTAATAGATAGTAGGATGCACAATGGATAAAACAAAAGTCCAAACTTGTGACATTAATAATACAAGCATACCTCTTATAGTCTATTAAGATACTAATGAAAAGTGGACTAAGGGAATCTTCTTGGAAGCAAAGCAAGTCTCAAAATATATTAGAACACTGACTCAATGAAAGTGCCGTCAGTAGTGGTGTGACATTTCGACTTGTGCTTGATCATTCGGAGTTTCTTTTTGCCACCATTGCCGTTGCCATTGCCATTACCATGGCCATTGCAACTGTTGCTTGCACTGCCATTGCAATTGCTGCTTGCAATTCTGTTGTCTTTGCCACCGTTGGCACTGCCATTCCCATTGCCCTGGTAGGTACGTGGCACCACCTCCACACCGGTTATGATAGCAAATGTCTGGTCAATGAAATCATCGCCGTAGTAGCTAATTCTCGTAGTATTGAAGAACCTTGCAATGCAGAACTTGCCCGAGCCTATGTTGACAAGCTGAGGCCCCTGCAGTAGATCCCAGTCCTCCAGCGGGTCAAACTCCTTCCAAGTGCCAACTAGCTGTGGTTTGGAGTCCAGGTTGGAGAGATCAGCAGCAGATAGGTGGTTCTTGTCAGAGAATCCAAACCAGAGATTGAGTTCCGGCACATACTCAATCTTGCCATACAAGGGTAGCATCCACTTGCCAACCGGGCTCCAAGTGTGGGTCGCAATGTCCATGCAGTAGGTGCCAACGTCCTCCATTGATATCAAGATTTAGGTGCCACCACCGACCACTGCGTAGGACATGATCTCGGAGCGGACCTTCATCTGCATGGGGTCACGTAGGTAAGGCGGCGGCGGCAGCAGTTGGCACTTCCAGTACTTGAAGGATGTCTTCTTGTGCTGCTGGCCATAGGTGTACGCCTCAAACTGGTCACTCGTCTGGTCTTTGTAGCGCAGCTCCATATTGGGACTGCTCTCCATGACAAAGAGGGTGCCAACATAGTCTTCATCATACTCCTCCTCGTCCATGTTTTGACTGACTGCGCTCGGGATGAAGAGGGAGAGGGGTTTTTCCTTGGGTTTGTGGAGGCTGGGCATGGTCACCACGTGGTGCGTCTCGGCGTCGAAGAGGAAGGTGCGCCCAGACTGGTCCGCGCAGAGCATCTTGCTCTCCGTGAGTGGGAGGTATTGGATGCTCCTCCTCTGGTCGTCGTCCTTGGGTGAAGCTCGGAACGTGATGATCGGGTCGGGAAGATGAATCCTCGGCATCTTTGACGCCTCACAGTCGGCATTGGCCACCGATCCTTTTCCGTTTAGTGGTGGTCCTGGGTTAAAGAATTTCTGGCGCGCTAGGTCGATGCGGCGCAGCGACCTCAACCCAAGGATGCGGCTGTCCATAATCACATTCAGAAAGCGTCGCGAGAGGCTCATCGTCGATCCACAAACTTCAAAGGAAAAAAAAATCATCAGAAAATATAGTGAAGATTCAGTAAGAACGAGAGGGAAAAAAAAAAAGAAAGAACAGACAATCTCCGTGATTTGGGTACGGTACTAGCTAGCAAGATTAGATTGCGGGGAAGAAAGAGTAGAAGCACGGAGCAACAAACCGATTCGATCTGCTTTGCAGTCAATCCAGGGAGCGTCCGGCCTGCTCTGCTGCAGGATAAGATGGTATCACAAGTTCTGCAAATATCAAAGATAAAACAACGAGAAAATGAAAAAAAATTGGCTTTCCAACCGAGAGGATAAAGATAAAACAGATGTAGAAGTAGAAGCAGCGGACCTGGGGCACTCGGTTGGAAGGGGCAGGGCGTAGGCGTAGCTCCCCAGTGGCCGGCCGGAGGACGAAGGCGAGCAAGATGGCGGCGGAAGGGCGAGAGAAGGCGATGGGGATGGATTTCTTTCTAGGTCTGGACGCCTCGGGACAATATAGTAAACGAACCTACACGTCTCTCCATGGGAGAAGACAGTTATTCAAAGCTTCTCCAGATTTCATCTCAAATTTAATGTACTTCTTTTTAAAAAAATCACGACGAAGTTCTTTAATGTTATTAGTACCTTCATAAAAATTATTCAAAGCAACCCAAATCTCATGAGCAGTTTGAAGATGAGCAATACGATCATAATCCGAACGAGAAATCCCACTCAAAAGAATATTGCGAGCTTTGCAATTTAGTTCAAAAGTAGTTTTTTCAGCAGCAATATTAATAGTTTCAAGAATCACATAAGAAAGAGAAACTTTTCTCCAAATATTATAATTCTCAGCCATAATGTAAGATTGCATCCTACTACACCAATGAGAAAAATCTGTTCCATCGAAAATATGAGGCTTAGTTGTAAACTTATTAGAAGTAGCCATGGAAAAAACTCAAGATCGGTAAAGATCAAAAAGAGCAAATGTGGCTCTGATACCACTTGTAGGATCGAATCACAAGAACTAGTCCAACCAGAGGGGGGTGAATAGTTGGTATATCCAAAAACCAAAAACTTTTAGTGGAAATAAAAGTTACCCTCGAAATCAATGGATCGCGGTCTGACCGAAGTAGTAGCGCCGGTCTGACTGCCTGAATATCGTCGGTCTGACCAAGGTTGTAACACCAGTCGAACCGCCGAGATCAATCGCCAGCTCCTGTCGCCGCCGCCGGTCTGACCGCCCTAGTACCGCCAGTCGGACCGCCGCGATGCCGCCGGTCTGACCGCTGGTGAGATGCCGGTTAGACCGCCGAAACCCGGTGAAACATAAATCGAAGAACTCTCAAAGTAGATGAAAACTTTATTGCTTCTCTCTGTGTTTACAAAGTGCACCAACAGCACTCCTTACAAAAATCTCGACTAAACTCGAAACCCTAACTAAACTAGCAACTCAATTGCTCTCAAAAGCGATACCGGGAAGCCTCACGCTCTCTCTCTATTTATACATGAGGTAGGCAGCCTAAAGCCACGAACCAAACTCATACTAAGAGTCCTAAACACCTTAGGAAACCCTCTAGTACAAGAAATAAACTCCACATAACCAATCGTACCAAATTTGGACTCCTTCCAAATTCGACTCCGCATCCCATACGCACACAATACCTCCATCGTATGCCATATAGAATCTCCATCAACCACGTACATCAACTCTAGCCTTAGTATCCCGCATGATATCTGACCACCACGGACATCGTCTTACCACCAAGCCGACTCCCGGTCCATCACCGCAAATACTCTCCCGAGGCATCGAGTCACCTACACATGAAACAAACAAAGAAACCATATTTCGAGACCAAGCTATCTCCAACTCGACTCATTGTTAGCAAAGAACAGTATTACATACGTATAGTATCCATCTAGAAGCCATAACCATGAAACAATCATGGATATCCAAATAAACAACACGAAACCGAAACCGACACAGCGTCGGCCAGTCAGACCGCGGGCAAGCCGGTCTGACCGCTCACATAGCGCCGGTCTGACCGGCAACCACCGCCCGATCTGACCGGTCCCGACAAACCAGTAAACCCTGTTCATCTCCTGGAAATTGATTATCTCCAAAACCACTTCGACGATAATCTCCAAATATCAAAACCGATAATCACAGGTACCAATTGTTCATCACAGAATTAGAATCAAAACACACGTTGATCTTACAGCTACAACCGATTAAATGCCGTATCTCGCATGTATATCATCAGTTGTAAGTCATCAATTTATCCTTATACATCGATACCATACTATTATTATGTTTGTACCGCGCTATTAGTAAGTGAAAGTTAATAATAGGTAAAAAATAACAATTTAAGTAGTGATTTAATATATATGTCTAATGTCTATGTCAAGTGGTCAGACTCATCCAACTTATATAACAATTAGATAAAAATAACTATGCAAAACCACCTTAGGTGGTTCTATAAATGGTATTGTCAAATTGAGGGGATTGAATATTCGGTTTCAAAGTTTAGGGTGCTAGATAAACTTTAATTTAAAGTTTTTTTTTTTTGGGGGGGGGGGAATCTGGACCTTTCCTTTAACTATTTCCTACACCCCAAATACATGCAAAAGTCTAACAAGTTGGATCTGTTCTAGTTTAAGCCAGAGGAGTCCAGTATGATTCTGCACGGTGGTGACATTTGCCTCGATCTTCTTTTTTTTCTGGCTTGGAGAGAGTAGTCCACACCGCTGAAAATTTCCGATGTCTCTAGTTCCAAGATTACCAATATGATGTAGAGTATTCCATTGTATTGGTATGCCATTCCCTAGGCAGAGACAACATCAACAATTGTTGATATGACCTTACCATCATGATCCCATTGTATGTTCATCTATATATATAGATAGATATATAATGAAAGTATAACTCCCTGGTCCCCGGCGTCTGCATTAACTAGAATACATAATAATTTATGATACAACTGCAGCAGAATCATAGACAGGACTTGCAGACCAAACTCTGGTGGACAAAAAGATATAGGTTGTGTTTAGTTGGATCCAAAGTTTGAATTTTGGTTGAAATTGGAGATGATGTGACTGAAAAGTTGGGTGTGTATGACAGGTTGATGTGATGGAAAAGGACTGAAGTTTGGATCCAAACTTTGGATCTAAACACATCCATATATAAGGGAAAATATCATTTATGTATATGACGGTCTGTTTTTGGGTACACTGTTTGGAAGGCTGTTCACCTATCTTATAGAGGGAGGAAGAAAAAGGTCTTACAGTTACAGAGTGATTTGTTTTTAGAGTAATTCTCAGTTAGTACGTCATATAATGTCAAATTCTAGAATTAGAGAGAGATAACATGGATCTTTTTTTTTTCACGAATGTTGTGAATTCCTTAGTGCTTTGTGAAATGCACGAAAGGAGAATTTGTATGGACTCCCAAGTGTACAGTTCTTTTGCATCTTGCATGGAAGAACATCATTTTCTGCTGTTAATCCTGATTCACGAGCAGCAACCACATAATTGGCTGCACTTGCCACTCTGGTCCGTGGCCAGGAGACTGTTCCTAAACAGACTGAATTTCCGGTGTCTCCTAGTCCCACTCCCAACTCCGAAGCATACTTTCTCCGTCTCATTCGTTTTTTTTGACGGAGAAAGTATATCAGTAAATAGCAACATTGAGTCATCTACGACTGCGTTTGACCTTGAACTCTCATCGATCCTCTTTCGGGGTCATATTATCATACATAGTTGCATGCATGTCTTCTGTTCCGTGTTGTGATGCAACTATGGGCCTGTGGCAGCTATTTATCACTGAATCGTACATGGACTTTTCCGAACCATATAACTCTGGCAGAAACATATTACTAATGACAATAAATTATTGCTGGAGAAGAGCACATAAATGATGATGTAAGCATACGATGGTCTATTTCTAAGACAATTTGTATGGAGGGTTTATTGGTAGTACAAGTAATAATATTCGGAAAGTTTCGGAAACTGACTCTAACTGTGTTATGTCGAGTGTGAATTAGACCCCAAGCACGTGCTTTCGTATTAGCCACCCCCACCTGACCATACAGTGCAAAAATTCATTGAATAGAGCAGGAGAAAACTTACAAGACTAGAGTCCTAGGAGGCAATAGCTAGGAAAGAAAAAAAAATAATCACCACCACATAGTCCAAGAGAAGGCCAGCACTGTACCGGTTACTGCTAAGTGTGACTGGCAGCCGCTAGGCTAACAAAGAAACTATAGCCGAGATCGTCCATGATCTTCTGCTGATGGTTTCCCAATTCTTCCTAATTTCACGAGGTTGGAAGCTATGCCATCTTTCGCTGCATTAGCCATATGCATGACGGCAACCAGACGACATTTGGCCCCCGTGTTTCATGGCGGTAGCATTACCTCTAGACACTATCGAATTTCCGATGCATCCTAGTCCCCAATTAATATATCACTATCCCATAATCCCATTTCATGCCTATGATGCTCATCGACGATATATACGTGGAGCTGCAATGGTTGTGTTTGGAGGAGCAATGGCTACAGCTCGGCTACATGTACATGAGGTTGAATGCCATATCCTGGGCTCCAATGAGGCTGTGGCAATATTAAGACCTGACTATGGGGCATTTTTCTGTCTATATTTGTGTTCTTGTAGATCAATTCTTATGATATGTGATGCTTCATAATTGCAAAGAGATCAAACTGATAGATCCAGTACAACTGGCATTAATTTTTAGCTGTTATATAATCCGAGGTCCGAATGTGGTAAAGTGTGCCAAATTGTTTCATACTGATAGAGATGGACTACTGGTTGAGCTGCTATTTTTATGTCAGGAGTAGATGAAATTTACTTTGTAAACACTCCGGGGATGCACTAATGCACCTTTATCATTCTAGCTGAATTTTCTCATCTCATATTATAAGAGAACCTCTCCTTTATAAAGTAGATATATTAGAAAACTTTCCTTCTCATCACACTTTTAATCGATTAATCCCATCTTTGCCTTCTAATGCCATCGATGTTCTCAGTTTGTTTTTTCAAAAGATATTATAACTATTTGAATGACATGTAAAAAACCATTTGAATGACATGTTAAAAAATGGGGGATATTCCCTTAGGACAAAAACATGCGCGTTGAAGTGTGAGTATGAAATTGTTTCTATTGGACAAAAAAAAAAGTCACTGTTAACTAATGTCTTCTCTTAATCAGAATAGCACAACTATATATGCCTATATTATAAATATATAATATCACAACTAATGCGCGGTGCACTGTCTTCTGAACTCGTTGCTGTGGGCTTTTGTATCAAGAATCATTTATTTGAATGCAGCTGGGAAAGAGTTGGACAAATGGATGTGTGAAAAAAGTAGCCAATATAATGTGACAGTAAAGCACAACACAACGTTCAGGTATCTTTTTTTTTGTTAATAGGGACTGTCTGTATATCTCTTGATAGAAAATCTCACCTTCCATCTTTCAAATTTTAGACTATCGGATATGCTTTAAGATTCGTGCAGAAACATTAACCCTAGCTCTTTTCCTTCCGTTCCCCTCGCATCGCTCGTTCCGCCGCGCCCATCGTGCTTTTGTTCGCTCCGCCTGATCCCCCGCCGCCACCGCCCTACTGTGTCGCCGCCCGCCTCGCCGGCTGGCCGGAGGGTGTCAACGGCGCCGGCGAGACCCCCCGGCCAGCCTCCTCCCCCTCCCCCCTCCTTCCTCCCCGAGCGTCGGCAACGAGATGCCCCCGCCGCCAACGCCGGCCCACCGCCGTCCTCTAGCCCCATGGCT